CCCTAATTAGCCCTCTGTATTTAAACCACCTGTTTTGCCCCTGTCCTTTGTCAGTTCATTGTTGTTGTTTGTTGGTGTCCTGTTCATCCCATCCTGCCATTAAACCATTTTTACTTTTACCGAAGCCTGCATTTTTCCTCCGTTCAGCTCATCCACACATGTTCTGCCGTCTCCACCTCCCAAACCATGACAGAATGAACTGACCAAACCGGGACCTGTGGTGAGCACTTCTAAATCTCCCTGGAGGAATTATTTTTTCTTTTTTGTCCTTTAGCAGAAGGAGATTCTGGCCCAGGGTGATGGCGCATCCTACCTGTTCTCCGGGGTGGTCAAGCCTCTGGGTGGGTTTCGGCGCATCCAGTCCGTTTCCTGTGGTGTTCGAGCCCTTCTCTCCACCTGCTTTCTGCCCCCGTCCTGTGTTTCTCATAGAAGCTGCGGATCCTGGAGCCTTGAGGGAGTTACACCCCCTACGCACGCCATTGTTCTCCGGGGTGGTAGGGCTGGTCTCCCCGCTCTTCTCCTGCTTCCCTGCACCCAAGCCTCTGCCGGAGATCCAGCGAATCGTGCCGTGCACCTGCTCTGACCAGCTGTCGAGTGCCTGCCGCCGATCCTGGTTTTCTGGCGTCGCTCCTGCCGTTCGTCCACTTCCTGGTCCACGCTGTGGGGCTTATGCCTGCAGGTCTCGTACTGCTGCAGTCCCTGCTGGGTCCCACGCCTGCTCCAGCAGTTCTCTGCCTGGGTCCCACGCCTGCTCCAGCAGTTCTCTGCCTGGGTCCCACGCCTGCTCCAGCAGTTCTCTGCCTGGGTCCCACGCCTGCTCCAGCAGTTCTCTGCCTGGGTCCCACGCCTGCTCAAGTCCAGTCATGTTCCAGTCCAGTCATGTTCCAGTCCAGTCATGTTCCAGTCCAGTCATGTTCCGGTCCAGTCATGTTCCGGTCCAGTCATGTTCCGGTCCAGTCATGTTCCGGTCCAGTCATGTTCCGGTCCAGTCATGTTTAGTCCCTGGTCCAGTCAAGTCCATGTTCAGTCCCTGGTCCAGTCTTCGAGTCCCCATCTCCTGTGCCGTGTGGCCTTATGGGCGTCTGGTATCCGCCCTTAAGGGGGGGGGGAGGGGGGGGGTACTGTCACGATCTGCCCCTGCCCGCCTGACTGTGTTCCTCTCCTGCCATGATTACCCTTATTGTTCTCACCTGTCCCTCGTTTACCTGCCCATGTTTCCCTAATTAGCCCTCTGTATTTAAACCACCTGTTTTGCCCCTGTCCTTTGTCAGTTCATTGTTGTTGTTTGTTGGTGTTCCTGTTCATCCCATCCTGCCATTAAACCATTTTTACTTTTACCGAAGCCCGCATTTTTCCTCCGTTCAGCTCATCCACACATGGTCTGCCGTCTCCACCTCCTAAACCGTGACACCCACTGTCCTAATAGGGGACACCCGATGGGACAGTGGGAGGGTTAAGAGGAAAACGTCACCAGTGCAAATTAAAACTGCTAGTGGTCTTTGGGCCGAAGATCAACTAATATTCTGGTAAAAATTAAAAAGGTGATCTTGTGTAATAGAATCAATGATTTAGAAGTATTTTGCAGCTGTTAAGTGTTTTCAAAAGTTTTAAACATATTTGCTGCCTGGTACTTAGCCTACAGTTGGGTTTCTGTGGTCTTTTACTTTTTATTAACTATTACTATTAATATGAATAACAATAATAAAATACATTCCAGTAGATACTGCAGTAGTACCCTTAAATGTTTGCTCATGTTGCTAAACTTGGTACTTAATGTGTTTTGTGCCATTCCCTGATTCCATTTGAGTTGTTTAACATGCAGCTGCAGGCTGTACAAGCTCACCTGCCTCCCTTCACTTTGAACCCCAGCGCTGGTCGGCCGTCCAAATAACATAATCATCTTCTGCACTAATTAACTCGTACCCACAACAGGCTTTGTATAGCAGCTGTTCTCATCACAGACACACACACACACACACACACACACACACACACACACACACACACGTGTATACTAATTTACACACTCTTCTAAAAGACCTTAAATGGACTGCTGGTCCAAATGGAGGACAGCTCCACGTGTTCACATGAAAAGCTGTGAACTGCACATTTACTGACTTCAATCACAGACACAAAGGAATACAGCAAATGGGTTAGTTTCACCTGGTCATAATCTGTGTTACTAGGAATGCAGTTATTGTCCGTTGTGGCTAAAGTGTGAGACTTTGCCTTCAGTGATACAAACACACAGATGGCAGCCATTTGCTGAAACCCATGTGCACGCATGCATGAATGTATGCAGCTCTCTGATGTCAGCTGAGTGATGGTGCAAGCTGAAATATGCAGCAGGCCTACCCCTAATCCTTATGACGGATTCATAAAATCCACTCGTAGTGACTAGGGGACCGAACACTCAGCTGTCTCACCTACACAAGCGTCTGGGTAAACATTCTCACAAATATCTTGCTAAACTGGTCAGTAAGTCCCACACATGCAGCAGGACATGGTCTGCGATGAGGAAACAGGTTCAACAGGGTGTGCATAGGAAATGAGCTTCCTTAACAAGAGTGTGACGCAGTATTGCACTCTGTGGGGTGGCACAGCAAGCACAAGGTCAATTAGACCCAGGTAGAGATTGCCACAGATGATTAAGGTTGATGCTAAAAGCATTAACTATTGCTGAGTAGAACTCCAGCTCCAGTCGCATTAGCATTTCAGCGAGCACATTCACAACTCTGTGATTACCATGTTCACGTCATCACTCCTGTTGTAAATGATGGTTACAACCCAAAACAGAGCTGTGATAATGCTTGGCCACCTTAATGTTTTCATTATCAGGTCACTGATGCTTGCAGGAACCAAGAAGACGTACAATGTCCCTTGTCCTACAGCAGGTGAGAACCAGAGCTGTAGATGACACCTATCACCCAAACGTGTCACAACAAAGATGATAGGATTCAGAATAAGGAATTTGGTGTAAGGGTTGCTTGGTGGTGCAGTTCGCAGCTCTGCTGCTTCACACTGAGAACGCTGTAGGTTCAAATCCCTTGTTAAAAATAGTAAAATAAATGGATGGATAGACTAATGGATGAGTGAGTGGGTAGGCAGATGGACGGGTGGATGGACAGATGGACAAAATCATGGGATGGATGGACAGATGAATGGACATTAGATAGATTGACAAAGGGATGGATGGATGGATGGACACATTGACAGATGGATGGATGGATGGACAGATGAATGGTTTGGTTTGTACCGTTTTAATATTCACTTCACAGTAATGGGTAATAACATTTTCACTTCACACTAGGAGCTAACCTCTAAGTATCTGAGTGAAGGAGTAATCTTCTGAGGTATTTGGTAATGCCTTTAAACTTGTCAAATTCTAATTTGTCTAAATTTGTGAACAATAAGGTTAATAAAGGCTGGAACACTTCCTGATCCATCCAGTACTCCAGCCGCCTCCCGATTTGGCCGATTGGTGAGCAAGCGTTTGGAACCATTCTCTCATTTGACCAAGGTCACAGACTTTCTGCAATGCTTGCAAGGGATATCAGACACTATAGCACCTCGGACATTGAATGTCTAACATGCTGACCATGGTAGTATCTTCCAGTCAAATCTGAATTCAAAGGGAGTTATGTCTCTTTGAGATTCCTGTAGCCATGACGTCCAGTGAAGTCACCACTCATGCTGCCTTCCCTCTGGACCGCTCAAGAGCTACCATCACACAAGGGTATCGTAGGCTCTGCACGATTGTGTCGGATGGCTTTATGAATAATCAATAGCTTGTTAAACCATACAGTCAAACTGATTTTACAACCCAGACATCACAAGATCTCACAAATACTTAATAATGTTTAGCTAGCTTACATTCCATCATTTCATCCATTGTCTGTTACCCAGTACAGCCATCATTTCATTCGTACTTTGTCCTGTATAATCATTAGTTTAGAAAAATAGAATTACATTTTTTTCTTTAACTATACCCTTGACTCTGTCTGAATTAACATGAAGTGTGTGTTCCCTGAATAGTCAAGGAACCTAGAGCAGGGGTGCCCAATCCTGGTCCTAGAGGGCTGCTATCCAGCAGGTTTTGTGGTTTCTCTGCTTCCTCACACTTGATTTAGTAGTTGAATCACCTGTGCAGCTGCTCATCAGAATCAGCAGAAGCATTGAAATCATCTGCTGATTGAAATCAGGTGTGTGGAAGTGGGGTTAAATCAAAACCTGCTGGATACCGGCCCTCCAGGACCAGGATTGGGCACCCCTGACCTAGAGTTATGTTAAATCAAACATTCAAAGATCAGTCGGATTGATAATTCATATTTATATGGAATTTCACATCTTATTGATCATTTAATAAATGTAGCTAATCCTCACCGCTACATATTGTGGTGAAAAACTTTAAATGTCTGACATTATGACCGACGATGTAAAGTTTTTCGTTGGACAACAGTAAAAGACATCGTAATGTCTGACGTGTTTTTGCAAACACTGCAGTCAGATGCAGTGGAAGGAGAAGTGTTGGATCCAGATGTTGTGATTCTAGATTGTGTCCACATGAACAGGAAAACTCCTGTTTGTTCTTTTAAAGATGATGTGAGTTTGCACCTTTCTGAATTGAAGTTTTTTTTTTTTACAAACCAGTGAATGAGACATTTCAATGCTGGTGTTGCAGAATCAGAACCAAATGTGTTTATTTGACTGAAAGTGGTTGTTAGTGATAGTAGATTTGTGTCCAGGTTATCTTCATCAGAGGAAGGCTTACAGGTCAAAGACAAGAACTAGCACCACCTGTTGGAAGTTCCTGTTATAATTGTGACTATCTGAGTATTTGGCAAACATTCTCTTGCACTCAAAACTTAATGTTTCGTAACATGATTCACATGAAAGAGTTTCTACTTTTGGACCCAAAAACATTTTTAACTCCAACATGAGCTGACAACATCTCAGAAAGTGGAGGATTGTTTTAATCTTCATTGCAGATTAATTTGTACCTGTTCTGGCTGGTTAGCGTTGGACAGCGGGATCACCATCCAGATTATGTTCAGGTTGTTGAGGGCAGCGCTGGTGGTGAAGGAGCAGGGCAGGATGGCTGCCTGTCCACGTGCGACCTGAATGCTGCTCTGAGACACGGTCACGTCCAGCGCCTGCACACACGCTGCAGGAGGAAGACGACAAATGGATAAGTGAAAGCCCTGTTCCAAAAATGTGAAAGTATGGGGTGTAGGAATCACAGCTGGACTAAATAAATGGGGATTGAACCAGCTCACACATAAATGCATGTACTATGAATCAAAGTAAAATCTTCAAAGCATTGCACTGGGCAGCTGAAGACCCCTTCGTCTGCTGCTGTCCGTCGTTTCATTCTATTATAACCTCTACAAAAGTCTATTCTGTTCAGAAAGTGTGTGTGTGTGTGTGTGTGTGTGTGTGTGTGTGTGTGTGTGTGTGTGTGTGTGTGTGTGTAAGTGTGTGTGTGTGTGTGTGTGCTTGTCTTTATATGCTTAAGTGGACACATAACTTTAACCTGTAGTGTGTGGATATTTCCACATTGTGGGGACATCTGGCTGGTCGACGAGATCACAAAATACCCTAAAATGTGGTTTTAGAGATTTGGTGTGACTTTTTTAACTTGTAGGCTTATGGGTTAGGCATAGTGGAGTCCCTAAAATTAACGGAAATCAATGGAGGGTCCACACAAGGATACAGAGACAAGTGTGTGTGCATGTGTGTGTGTGTGTTGGGGGGGGGGGTCTGGCTGCCACTAGGGTCCAAGGGCATTTCAGCTGAACCAGGCACGTATTAGAACGCAGGTATATTATATGTTGAACCTGTCAGTTTAGGCTGTCCTATTTGTGTCCTTAGAAATGTAGCAGCTAAACAAACCATGGGGTTCCTTAGTAAGATTGCCATCAGCCGAGTAGGCTAGATGTGACAACCTATACTGTAGATTGTCAAATCAAATATTGAAGAGTAAATTGAGTATATTGAGGAGTATGCAGCTATTTTAATCGCATCATTTTTCTCTTTAAGTGTCCATCAGGTTTTTCCATGGCACAATTCTACAGTTTTTTATCATGTCATTTTCCTCTTTAATGCACAAAAACATCAATTTGCCCAAGATGGTGCCGGTGTACGTGGCAAGCCGTCTGTCTCCTGTCAGTTATTTTATCTTTTTATTATTTTTGAGTGTTTTCGTGTGTAATGTGACTTTGTTGCTGACTTATGACGAGAGGCTCTTCTAGAACTTCGGTCGGCTGCTGGCCTGGTGAAACCGGGTGCTTGGACGGGCTGGAGGAGTTCCGGTTTTTCATCCTCCTGCCAGTGCCGCTCAGCACCACCGCTTGTGCCTTGACGGCTCCTGGATTGGGCTAACTGGAAGAAGCGTCATGGGGTCGTGGAAGGCGTGGTGGACGGCGGGTGAGACCACGGTCCAAGCTGTCACGGTCCCGTAGGGAGCTTGCTAAGCTGACGGGTATCAGCTGTCATCTTGTGGCGCCGTCACGCCTGTTGGAGCCGGCCCCGTCCTGCCTCGTGCCGTTGGTGGGATTTGATGAGGAGACTGCGTACCCGCGCTTTCGTCCAGTGTCTAGGTGCCGAGGGAGGGGAGTCAACCCAGTAAATCTCCACCCGGTGACCTGTAAGGGGGTAGCATCCACGTCCCTGGGCTTAAATAGCGCTGGGCCGACAACTCCACATCTCACACGGCTAGGTCTGGTCAGCGCCAGGTCGGTAATGAATAAAACTTTCATTTTGAAAGACTTCTTTGTTGCACAGGGGTTGGAACTTAGAAATGGCTCAGGTGCTGATATTGACCATGGCCCATTGACCCCCTATGAAAAGAAAATAGTCAGTAATTTGGGGATAAAAATTGACTCTTCACTTAATGTTGACACTCACGTAAATACAGTGGTGAGGTCCTGTTTTTTTTTTACCTGAAAAGACTATCCAGGATCAGGCCTCTGCTGTCCAGAGCTCATCTGGTGTCTGTGTTGCATACTTTCGTCCTGTCCCGTCTGGACTACTGTAACGCTCTGTATGCCGGTCTGTCCCAGTGCACAGTTGCACAGCTCCAGTTTGTGCAGAACTCAGTGGCTAGGTTCCTGACAGGTACTAGATGTCGAGAGCACATTACCCCAGTGCTGGCTCCCGGTGCAATACCAAGCTAAATTTAAAATCTTAACTCTCGTTTATAAGGCCCTCCAGGGCAGTGCCCCTTCTTGCATTACTGCACTTTTGCACAGATATGCTCCATCTCGGTCTCTTTGCTCAGCCGAGCAGGGACGTCTGGTGGTCCCCCGGTCGAAATATCGATCGAGGGGTTATCATGCTTTTTCTGTTTTGGCTCCAACTCTGTGGAATGAATTGCCATTGAGCATTAGGCAGGCACCGCCCCTTCAAGTCTTTAAGTCTCGTCTAAAGACTCATTTTTATTTGATTGCTTTTCAGCGCTAGGGTTCTTTGAATTGCCCTGACATTATGGTTTCAATTCTTCTTCTTTTTGACCAGGATGCTTGATCTTATTTTGTCCACCATTTGTTTTTAATTGATTAGTCTTATTCCGTTAGCTCTCTGTATTTGTAATATTGTTTGCTTGATATTTTATGATTTTGTTTTTATCTTGCTTTTATGCCCAGGTTCTGGGAATGTTTTTATGATGATGCTGTTTAGCACCTTGGGCTTCTGATAGCGTTGTGGAAGGTGCTCTACAAATAAAATTGATTGATTGATTGAATGATTGATCAATTTCACAGTATTGGACACAGTTTCAGATCCAGAGGGTAGATTTATGATGTTAAAAATATCAATACAGAACCAAAGCTTGTGTCGTCAGAATATACTGTCCAGATATTGATGACATTGATAGAAATTGTCTTGTTTTAACTCCTCAACCAGTGCTACTGACTGGATGAGATCTTACCTAGCAAACAGAGTTCAGTGTGTGAGAGTTAATGGTGAGACATTGACACCATTTAGGAATGCATTGGGTGTACCCCAGGGATCTGTCCTGGGCCCTATTCTGTTCAGCATTTACATAAAAGACTTGCCATCATTGTGCACTGGATGTGAGGTGCAGAAGTATGCTGATGACACAGTCATGTATGTCCATGCAGAAACTAAAACCCAAGCTGCTGGTAAGCTAAGTGATACAATGGTGCATGTACATAAATGGCTTACTTGCTCACAGCTGTATCTCAATGTTAAGAAGACAGTCTGTATGTGCTTTAGCAAAAGGAACACTTTATCTCACTACTACCCTACTGTCTGTGTGTCTGGGGAGGGCATTCAAACAGTTACAGTTTAAATACCTGGGCATTATTCTTGACTCTACTTTATCATTTAAACATCAAGTGAAAAAGGTGGTGCAAATTACTAAATATAATTTAGCAAATTTTAGGTATGTAAGAAACTGTTTAACAAAACCTGTAGCAAAGTTATATATGAACACTCATGTCATGATTTTACCTCACCAACTAGGGCTGCAACAACGAATCGATGAATTCGATGAAAATCGATTACTAAAAGCGTTGGCAACGAATTGCGTCATCGATTCGTTGTGTCGCACAACTCTTCCAAAAGCGCCCCCCCACCCCCCCTTCCCGCCCACCGTTGCGCGCAGACCAGAGCAAGTCAGATCAGCGCGAGGGAGAGCCGCAGATCAGCGCGAGGGAGAGCCTGCAGACTTGCGCTGCTGCGAACCGGTTCCGCATTGTTGCACAGCGATCCAGGCAGCTGCTTCCAGCGCACGGTCCATTCTCAAAGTGGCGCAACCAAAAAACTATAATTAGCACACGATCGTTCTTGTCTGCACATGTTCTCTATTTTCTGTCTTATTTGTGCCTGAAGCGCTCTGCTGCGGAGCTCATCACCTGTGCTGTGGTGATTTCACCTCACGCAGCATCGAAAACGCGCTCTCCGCTTTGCGGTCAGGAGATCTCTTTGATCTGCTCAAAAGTAACTGATGAGGTGAAAAAGTAAGAATCCAGGCAACAGATTTTCTGGAGAATTATGAGGAGATGCAGGAAGATGAGAGACAGACAGGACAGGAAAATAGTTAAATAAAAACAAGAAAACAAAGTAAAATGTAGGTAGATTTATCTCCACTACACGTTTTTACCAGTAAAAAACAATAAGTTCTACACATGTCATATTTATACATCTGATACAATTCAGATCACCTTCAAAACTCAGTCACACACCCAGGGCCGTTTCAAGACATTTTGGGGGCCAAGGCAAAATGTCTCCACCCCCCCCCCCCCCCCCCCCCCCCATAACTGGGCTCCCCAGAAGCCTCTGTGTAATTCATGCCCTCTCCAGGAGTATTAGTTATACAGTGTTTGTAAAAGCCCTCAGACATTACTGACATGTTCTAATATATCAGATGAAAAACTAAATTATCACACATGCTGTCTCATCAGCTTCTTTTCTAAACTTGCAAAAAGTAACAAAACCATTTGAAAGCCACTATTTGTGGATTATCTGAAAGTTTCCATGGAGTGTGTGACAACTTATTTTATCATTGATCCTATCGTCTAATCTCACAGCTGAAACAAGCATCCTTAATAATCTGTGCACAGGAAGCTTACCGATGCTGTAGTAAAACAAAAGGTATAATAATTTATTATTAATAAAACATTGTTGCAGCACTAAAGCATAAAAATGAGATTTTGCATTAAATATGCAAAATATTTACATATGAATTGTTTTAGAGCCCTTTTATTGGCAGAATCTGATATTAATTTAGTTCTTACAAAAAATGGGTCCCAACATGGTTTGTGTGGTGTTGCCATAGTGTGACATCATAGGCACAGATCCCCTGTCCTCTTGTTTGGAAATGGAAATATGGTCACCCTACATTAAACAAACTGTCCACCCGGGCTTTTGCGCTGCACAGAGACGCTTTGCTGCCTATGACTTCGAATGTCAGTTGAGAGTCAGTCTCATGCAGACTGACCAATGAAGAGAGGGCCTCAAGTTAAGACCCTCTCCTCATTGGTCAGTCCACACGAGGTGGGTCAAAGGTTACTCTGGGCGGGTTACGTGTTGTCAGGCATTCAAGTATTGAGTATATTTACTGCATATTACAGTAAAATATTCTGTATGTGACCACATTATGGTGATCCTCGGGTCGTGATGATGGAGCCCTTGAATATTGTT